AGCCAATTTTACACAACGAGAACTAGAACGCCGAAATCTCCTATGTTTAATACTTGTACGCTTTTTTATTGAATACAATTGTACTGTGTAGAGAAACAAATGTTGAGAGACGATGATTTCAAGAATCATTATTGCCAGAATATTCAAAGTTATCTGGATAAGGGATATGCCAAAAACCTGTCGGATGCAGATGGCAATAAATGCCTCGTTTTTGATGCAGCAGCTAGATCAAATGGTACCAGTTTGAACTACAACCTACTCAGTAGGAATACTCATCCAATTCAGACAGCAAAAGATAGCTTTTTGTGGCGACGTAAGAGAAATGTTCCATCAATTGGTCATCCGCCCAGAAGATGGTAATTCACAAAGATTCCTATGGCGAGAAGTGAATACTGATGCACCTTTTGAAATCTATGAAATGCAGGTGATGATTTTTGGGACAACCTGTTCGCCGGCATCAGCACAGTTCATCAAAAATCTGAATGCCGAACAGCAAACGACAAGACCAGATATTCTGGAGGCGATAGAAAAAAAACATTACGTTGATGACTATTTGGATCGTTCCGATACAGATGAAGAGGCATTGTTAAAAGTTTCCGAGGTTCGCCGAATTCAGAAATTAGCTAGTTTTGAACTTGTTAGCTGGACTTCCAATTTTAAACTAGTCATGAACAGTCTGCCAGATGACGACAGGTTGTCCACGTCTTGCAGCCATTCTTCTTACAGCCATTAGAGCTGAGTCGGTAGTCAGGTGATGGGCTACTTCTAAATGGACAGCTCTGACAGATAAACAGGTAAACAGAACTCCCCATCTGTTTTCTTGTCTATGACCAACTTTTACGTAGTGGGGTCCAAAATAATCTACTCCAGTGTGTCAAAGCTCTGCCGGTCGGTGTAAGTCTGATATTAGGAAGTTGGTCCATTTCAGGAACATTTGGTTTAGATTGCAAAATTCCACATTTTCTACATTCAGCGAAATAGAGGAAAACAGCAGATCTGCCATCGATAATCCAGTATATCTATCGTACTTCATTCAGAACGGTTTCCATTCCTTGATGAGCGAACTTGCTTTAATAGTGATGTAGTAGAAGTCTTGTATACAGATGTTGAGGTGGTAAGATTATAGGTCTTTGCGTAGTCATTTCCAATTGTTTTGCCAGATCTGTTCGGCCACTAAGTACTATTATCTCTTCATCGTTCAAAAAAACTGGCGATAGATTTTTTAGTCGGCTTTGACTTCTTAGGGGTCTTTTTTTCTTCAAAGCGTAAATTTCTTTCTGGAAAATGTCTCGCTGGTATTGTCGTATCTAGCTCCATTCAGCCTCCTGAATATCTGTTAGGACAATTGCTGTTGGAATACATTTAGTAAGTACATTTTTACAAAACTTCAGAACCCAAGCAGTAGCTCTGATTAACTTGAGCCATTTTGTGAATCTATTTATGTTAGGTAATCAGGAATAATGTTCAATAATAATTGTGACTATATCAGATGACTCTCTAAGACTTCAATGTTGGGATTTCTGCTAGGCAAAAAAATTCGTCTCTCAGATTGTAGAAAGTAGTTACCATTATACCATTGTCCGAAGTCCTAATTTCGTTCTTTAGAGCCAGTTCTCGTTGCCTGGTCTGCAGCATCCAGTTTTGAAGAAATCAAATGCCAATCTGAAGTATTTGTGATTCCTCGGATTTCTCCTATACGGTGCGACTCAAATTGTCCAAGTTTACTTCTATCACCTTTGATCCAATATAAGACTGTCGTTGTATCCGAATTTTGTCAATATGGATCTCCAAAATATTGGTTATTGTTCTCATTATCCTACTTCCCATCAGCGCAGCTTGAAGTTCCAGCCTAGGTATGGATATTGGTTTGCAAAGCAATCTTATTTGCATCGCAGAATATGTGGAGCTCAACCCTCTCATCTCCAGCTGAATTCAGTGAATAGCATCTTGGAATTGTCAATTCGTCCAGTCTTTTGATAGCAACAAGCAAAGATTTCCATTGTAGACCTAGCTCCTCATCAATTGCATCATCCCAACCAATTCCGGATTTCCAGATCTCTTGAATCAATATTTTGGCTCTGATAGTGACATGTGTTATGAGCCCCAATGAATCAGAAATTGACATAACACATTTCAATATCTTTCGCTTAGTTGGTCGATTATATTCGTCCTCATCAGTATATACAAGTTGAGAACAAAACTCATTAGTTTTAGGATTACATGAAATTCACAGAAATCTTTGTATACTTGAAACGCAATTTTGATTTATTTCCTTATTTACGACTAATGGGACCAACTTTCGAGGAGCTTATTCAGAAGAATTGATACGTGCGATCCAAGAGCTCGACCAACAGAAGATAAATCAGATATTACTTGACACTGGAACAGAATGTAAATTTTTACCTACCCGCATCTTCACCGCATATGGCAGGAGTTTGGGAGCGATTAGTACGTTCAGTAAAGAATATCTTTAATATCATTCTGAATAAGCAGATACTAGAAGACAAATTTTTACTAACATTATTCTGAGAATGCGAGTATATCATCAATTCCAGACCCCTAACAAGAGTTTCAACATATTCGAATGAATGGGAATCACTAACACCGAATCATTTTCTTTTGGGTGAAATGAATATAATGACTCCATTCGAAGAACTAAATGCTGATAACCTACGTTCGAATCAAAGGAAAACACAAGCTCTAAAAAAATGTTTTTGGAAAAGGTAGACAAAAGAATATTTACCAACACTAACTAGAAGGACGAAATGGAATAGATATGGTAAACCCATCAACATCAATGATATTGTTATTATTGTCGAAGACAATTACTCCAGAAAACCTTTGAAATTGGAAAGAGTAGAATTTTCCTGGACCCGATGGGAAAATACGAGTAGTTCAAGTGAAGACTGCAAATTGTTCTTCCAAACGACCAGTGTCGAAACTTTGCAGGGTGGATGTTGAAGTTTGTGAGCGAAGATAAAAACGAGAGTCACTGGATGGTATTAGTTAGATAAGAGTTCGGACATAGAAATGACAACTGTTAGTATTTTTGAATGTTTAGATTTATTAAGTTACACACTTTGCATTGTGACAAGAGCACAATAGTCTTCCCGCGCTTTATCATTGAAAATAAATCAAATTTCTTGAACGTCAGAATTGGTTTTGGAGGTGGTGATGGTGCAGGTGGAGCAGATCGTGTTCGCTGCAGGGTACTTCCATCCTTTGGGGGTATATGGAAGAAACTTGGTTTTCATTCCTTCCGCTAAGAATAACAAGCGGCAGGTGTGAAAAGCATTCTACCTAGCTGATGTAAATATACCAAAGTATTGTGACACGCTGACAAAAGCAATAATTCACATGGCCAGGACTCCTCCACATCAGACAGTGTGGTTTGTTTCTTCTAGAAATGCGTAGTCCTACATTCATGAGCAAGAACAATTATCCATAGACAATTTCATCTACTCCAACTTTTCGAGAGGTGGTATTTTCGCTTAAATGTATAGTTTCCGAGTTACGGATAAAAAACTGAAAAAAGTGCGAAAATTCCAGTTTTTTGCAAAACACCCCAGGAAATTTGTTTGCGAACTTTAGATTCAGATTCAACACCCCCGAAAACTTAAAACCGCAGAGAAACCGACTTCTCGAAGTTTTTCCACGAGAGGATCTTTATCTGTACCGTTTTACTGAGCTATACTGTTATGCCAAGGAATTTGTAAATATAAACTAAATTTCCATGCACTGGAACATAAAAGAAAATCGAAAAATTCTGTATTTTGGTGATATTTTGAAAACCAAGTTGAAAATGAGAAGATAATGTCGACAATCTTTTCAAATTATAAATCATCACAGAAATGTGCCACTTTTGCCTGATTCAACCACCAAGTCGTCCCTACTATTGGAAATAGTATTTAGTTCAATTTGCTTTTGGATGCACGAACGAACAACATGAAAAGGTGCTGGTAATTTTTTCGTCGTCATTCGGTCGTCGTTAATTCTTTCGAAAAGACATTCAAATTATTTTCAAAAACAAAGACCTTTGAGGAGTGCCCTCTGTAGGCCAAAAAAAAGGGTACTTTAAATGTGTGTTTGGTTTTGACTCCAGTACGAATGTTGACGACATGGTTATATTGACAAGTATAGGAGAATGCCTTACGAAAACTTATCGAGAAACATTTCTGGAATTGAATAATCTACAACTTATAACTTATTCAGAGTACTGTATATCATACTGAGAGAGAGTTGCGTGAATTGACAGCAAGAGCGATGCAGTACTGTCTCGGCCCACCAGACCGTATTTGGAAGATAACATAAATTTGTGATTCACCTCTCTATGCCGTTGTAACGAAAAACACAAGCGTTGAGTTCTCATTCTTTATTGAGCGCCAACTTTATACACCTGCATATTTTAAAATTTTCAAGTGTTATTGACATTATTTTGCGCCTAATATCGAAGGAGTTCGCACCCTATACAGAATATATCTGTCCATCCTGTATTAGAAAAATATATATAATCTTTCGGAATTGAAGAAATTGAAGAACATCAAATACGGAAGTTAACTTGAACACACCCGTTATACAATTTTCATTGCATTCTAAAAATTGTCAATTGCGGTTGAAAATGAAAAACAATACATTCTCCTTTGTTTTATGTATCTCTGTACAAAAGCGATGAGAACTAAGTATAAGGCATATCTCTTGCATTTACTTATATTTCTTTATATATATATTTCGTACTTGATGTGCGTCAGTCGAATGAATGCCTATACCTATTTGAAATTGGCAAGACGATAATGGATGTCTCAATATCAGTCAATTTTACTGTCGTTGGTACTCAATTCTCAGAAGTAATTACTGCCATCAATTGTTGAAAGTATATTTCGAGACGTGCATTGTAATTTCGAAAATTGTCTGAGAAACCGTAACATATACTTACATACTCACTATAACTTTCTTTCTCGGAATCAAAAGGGTATATTTGAATGTATTTGTTTTTTTTTCAGGTTCGACAATGTTCCAGTATTATATCAAGATAGTTCCGACTTCCTACATTCGAAAAGATGGAACTGTAATAAGTACAAATCAATTTTCAGTAACAAAGCATCAAAAAGTAGTGTCTATCGTCAGCGGTGAATCCGGAATGCCTGGTATATTTTTTCAATACGAGTTATCTCCGTTAATGGTGAAATTTACTGAAAAAGAAAGGTCCTTCGGCCATTTTGTTACGAATTTATGTGCTATCATTGGCGGTGTTTACACAGTGGCAGGGCTTCTGGATACATTTTTATATCATTCTGTGAAGTTAATACAAAGAAAAATGGAACTAGGAAAGTTACATTAGGTTACGATTTTTTAACAAATATATTTTTGAATTTTCCTGTTGTAGATTCATTCCACGATCAAAAGCGACAAAAAAGTACTCGATAATTATTGCATCGATAGTACATCAGTCAATAGGTACCTATAGTACCTTCCTATAGATATATTATTTACTCCACAAATAAATTCAAATCAAATTTCTCAACAAGGAAGAACCTGATCAAATATACAGGGTCGGTCAAAAATGTGTACAGAGCTTTCTGAAAGTGATAGTACATTGAAAGATAAGTATAGTTTGATGAATAAACTAATGTCCCAGAATGGCAGATATATCCTTCCAAAGTTAATTGAATTGAAATATTTCTTTCACATAAACTCTAAACGGTAAAATCCACCAGATTGTAATTTGCTGCATGAATGTATGTTGATAAAATACATTTATGCACGACCGAGCGTAAAGTTGCTCTTAACCGCCCGGTTTTGCGGCCGTAAAGTTGTGCTTCACCGCCCGCCGACTACTTTACCGCCCGGCGTATAGGTGAGTCGTATTAGGCATTCCTGTACAATTCAGGACATTTATGTTTCAGTTGTGATCAATATTGCAGTTCTCTTGATATTTCATATGTGCAGAATGATAGGATCTAACCCAAAATACGTTATCTGTGATGGCATTCATTGACAGAAAAATATAATAGTCTATTCCTATTTCAAAAAATCATGGTAAAGTCGATTCCATCAATGATACTACTCACTGCAGTCGTGATGTATTTCTCGAGTGATGAAGGGGTATTCACAATGAAAAATCGAATATACCGGTCGTGCATAAAATATTGTATGTATTTCAGGGGTAATTTGATTTTATGCACCTAGGCGTCTTAATTGCTCGCACTGTCACTCTTGCTCTTACATGCTACGGTCCATAAAACCTATTTTAAGCCCTTGATACCTACATAAATAACTATTATACACGACTGGGCGCACAGTAGCACTCCATTGCCTGGATTTGCGGGCGTAAAGAAACACTTTGGCGTCCTAGTAGTAATGTTAGTTCATTGTTTTTTCAGTAAATTCAAGTGGAGAACCATCTGGGGCAAGGTGCATCCATGTGGATGAATTTTGTATCGTTATTTTTTTATAGAAATGAAAAAAAATCATTACCTTTTGAACCATCAACAATTGGATTACCACATATATGTTTAGTTTGATTGGAAATGACCCCTCCTACCACCCCACTTCTTTTGATCCATGACTTATGGGACACCCTGTATATAACCGTATAAAACCTACCTATTTTTCATAAACCTTGGGAAATGCTTCATCGATGTTTATGAACATATAATTTTCCGTAATCCCATACTGTCATTTTTATTTAACGGTAACCAGGTGACAATTGAAAAGTTAATCAGCCTCCGTTAGTTAAAATGGTTCAAAGGTCGGCGGCCGTTATAATATTATTGTAATATTATTAAGCTATTCCATGACAACAGGATGTTGGGATTTTTTGGTAAAATTTACGATGTACGTGGTTTGCTCTTTCCTCGGAATCAAAATTTAATCTTTCGCAGGATTACAAAAAGTCTTGAATGACACACGGCCGATATGCAAATAACGGTTTTGGTTGTTATAATCCTCGGCTGCGCCTAGGATTACAATATTCAACCCCATCCACATATCGGCCTCGTAACGTTGAAACTATAATGTTACAAGGTCGATATGTAGCGAATAAAGGATAAGGTTGAATATTGTGATCCGCAGCCGAGGATTGGTACAAACAAATCAGTTATCTGCATATCGGCCGTGTATCGTAATCCCGCTGAAATATTACATTTTGATTTCGAGGAAAGAACAAACCACGTACCTACCTCGCAATTCTACAGAAAAATCTCGACATCGTGTTGATATGGAACAGTTAAAGTTGGCCGGCCGTTAAACAATCTTAACGGACGGAGGCTGTTAACTAACTTTTCAATCGTCATCTGAATACCGTTAAATCAAAATAACAGTATGGGATTACGAAAATAACTATAAACATTATGTTATACGTTTCTTCGGAAACATCGCACTCGAGATATGTATACAGAATATATTCATATGCAGTGTTTCATATATGAAACATGTATACATGTTTCTTTCGGAACATTTTCCATGAGATGTATCTGAATGCATAGATACACAGTTATATTATGTTGCAGATGCATTTCTATGGATACGTTTCCTATATGAAACGTTCAACATCTAGGACATTTCTGGTGTCTGGTATGTTTCACAAACGTGTATGAATCAAAAAGTGATAACGTTTTAAATGGAAAATAATTGGTTCCAGAATTGTGTCAAATACATATTTCGGTTCACTGGGATAGGTATCAGGGACTACGACATTTGAATTGTTGATGGTTTCGTCGATCTGACACTTGAAGCTTTCATCTGCAGAAACACTTCGTATAATGAAATTATTTTCCACTGTATTAACTCGGAATCTTATTCTCAAAAAAATCTCAACTAACTTAGATTTTTATCATCACTGGTACTTAAAATTCTTCTTATTGTACACCTCGTTCGAAAAATGGACGATTTTTTTCTAAATGCCAGTTTTTTATAAACCGCAAACAAGTACGTAACACATTTTTGCCTACCAAAGCGAGTTCCGAGAGTTTGTTTCCATAAGCCACTCTGTTTTAGATTGGCTTCATTTTTTAAATCCCTTCCAAGGCTTTTCTAACTTTCTTCATATTTCATAATGATTTTTCCCTGTGTGTAATCACATAACTTGCATATATTTGTGGAAAAACAATAACCATTCTTGAGGGTTCACATTGCTATAATTTCATCACTAGCAATACAAGTCAGACGAACAGCACTTTATCAGAACTCGTTTGCCTATATAGAACGGCAAAGCTCTGGAATTCATTGCTTGAGGAAGTATTTCCAACAAAAGTTCAATACGAATTCCAATACCTACCTCATCTACCTATCCTCCCTCGGTACGCATGTACGATATTCTTATTCGAACATTATAGGGATTTCCTTTCGCGCGCCCCAACAAATAAGGAAAAGATTTTTCCAACAGTTATATTGTTTTTAGATTTGGGAGACTCTCCCGAACAATCGACGAAAACAAGAACATCCCTAGCGTATCACACCAATTTTTGATTACAGCATAGTTTTGATCTACAAAGCACAGATCCGGTCCTTCTCAGAATGCCTACTCTGTTTTCGCACATTATTGGTTTCAGCACCTGAACTAAAAAAGTCGGCGACAAATTTTCTTTAGAAACATCGGCTATATTTCATCACCGGCAATATACAGTGTGACCCACTTCTAATGGAAACACTCCTGTATCTTAAGTAATCGGTGGGTAAGGATCCTGAAATTTGCTGGAGCGAGAGATATACCAAGAATGCACTCTATGACCAAGTGGGGTCATCTTCAGTAATATACACTGCTCGCCAACAGCCATGGAATCACCCCAATTTCCGAAAAATGATATTAGGAGTCAAAATAGGTTGAAAATCACCTCGGATTCGGAATCAGAACGCCCAATAGAGAATGATCTCAATACTCATTTAGTACTAAATTCAATCAAAAAGTACTTTGGCCCTGAACATTTTCGGATAGTACTAAATCTAGTATTAATGTACTGACTGGGAGAGCCACTGCCTACAATGAGGGTAATAAAATGAGGGCCAACATTTTCAGTATCACCAGTTGGCGCAACTAAATCATGAGGTCAATGTCAAAGTCAAGAATCCCAAAATTTTGCAGGATAAAACCCTCAAGGCTTTGCTATGTTTCATCGAAAATATTCGAAAAAAATGATATTTTAGTAGAATATTTGAATAAATAGAAAACCCCAAGTTGGCTTGGATAGACTGATGTTTTTAACTCCCAATGTGGAACTTTACGCCAAATTCTTACATTGACGGAGAGAAAATATCGTAGGAAGAGGCGAAATGACACGAAAAGAAGAAGAATATATTTATAAGTTCTGCCAACTCAGACCTCACGTTTTAGTAGCGCGATTTGGTCGACAAAAAAATATGTCAGCCTTCATTTTTCAAGTGTATTTCTGCTGATATTGAACCACTGATTTGCTCGTTGAACGGTGGCTAGCTACAAACTAGCAAAGCGATGGCTAGCACGTAGCTTGTTCAATTTGAATGGCACTCTGCATACCCACAAGAAGGCGCGAGGTGTCATGCGCATACTCGGTATTCCAACGGAGTGAAACTGCTGTTTAATCGTTCGTGGCATGTGGTGGCATGGTAATGTTTTCAAGAAACTGAATTGCCATGGTGATTTTTTGAATGGATCACAGATTGACAATTCGTGATCAATCGATCATTAGGTATTACATATTCGTACGCTGAATGCCAACTTTAGTTATGAGTAGAAAACTTTTTTTCTACTAAATTTGACATGTAATTTGACACTTTTCGAAACTGACGGACGTTTTGGAACATCTCACTTCACATAACCAGTTGCCTGAAGTGAAATATGGGTATGCTGCGTTCGACCGAAATTTCAATTCACAGACAATTTGTCGTTGGTCCCAAATTTCGTTTCACCCAAATTTCGATCCGCCCGAATTTCGATTCACCCAAATTTCGAATCAACCGAATTTTGACGTAATATGTGAATATTATAAGGATGGAAAATATCTACCTTTTCCAAACTATCTAACCTAACTCGGCCTAAATGAACCATCTTCCGGGAAAGTCTATTGTTCGAAGAATTACTTGAGAGAATAGAAGAGACTACTCCTCCTGAACAATCTGAGCTCACTTAGCCAAAATGATCCCTCCTAAAGAGTATATTTTTCGAAAAATTACTTGAAAGAACAGATGCTACTTTTTGAATAATCTAACATAACTCTGTCCAAATGAACCTTCATCCTAGCAAGTATATTTTTCAACAATCGAGATTTGGGCAAATCGACATTTGGGTGATCATATTTGGCAATCGGAATTTGGTAGAATCGACATTTGAGGTAATCGACATTTGAGTAAATATAAATTTTGGCCAAACGAGAAGTTCCCTAATATTACATAACTAGTGATGGAATGTTCATTTCAACACCAGTTACGTAGTGAGAATATAAATGCACAAAGAGAATACTGAGTTTATTTTGAGCTGCTTCCTCGATGTCACTTGGGAAAATGAACTTGAATGAGTAATATTCCACTAAGGAAGTTATCAAACGAGTCAATTTCGATTGCTTCGTCTCTGGTTTTTCACCACATTATTGTTTGACGGATACTTTCAACTTGCCTGCTAGAATTTGTACATAATCGGTAGAACTCGTGTAGTGCTGCTGGTCAATATTTCTGTACAAGCAAAATTCCAAAATTTGAAAAAATATGGAACGTAGCACGTTAGGAAATGCATTTTGTGTACTCTGTGTTCTGCGGAATAGCACTTCGTTGCGTTCATAGTTAGAAGCCCAAATATTGGATGACGGTGCGAGAACTGTCTGCGGGCACTCGTTATTCGACAGAATGATCATTTTCGACAGAATCTTATTCGAGTTTGATTGTTTGTATCTCAAGTCACGAAACTTTGAATTGTATGTCCAAGTGCCAAGTAATAAAAAAATAAAAGAAGATTATATTTTTTGGTTATGTTATTGTTTTTGTGATTGTGATTTTAAATTTGGAATTCTTGATATGGAATTTACCAAAGAACCGAGTTTTTCGCTTTTAAGTTCGAAAGATTTTGTACCTGAGAAATGTATGACACAACACCAAAACACATTTCTATTCCATGTTTTTAAACTACCATTTAATTTTGTTGTAGATGTGAGAGACTTGTCACAAAATTTTGTAGGTGGATCTGAACTCCAGACACTTCATAAAAAGATTCAAACCCTATCGGAAGAAACCAGCAGCAATCTAAAGAAAAATGTCTATAAGAACTATGTTCAATTCATTGATACTGCTAAAGAAATATCTCGTATCCTTTGAGTTCTGAATAGTTTCCTTTGAGTTCTGACTAATTTCCATAATGTGTTGCCAATTCATGAAATAGTTGATTATTGGCCATTTGGCTGTGAGGAGCCATTGTATTGAAATTATGTGGAGCTCACTTGAATTCATGACATTTCTATGAATGAACATGCACAACAGATTATCCACTGCTCTGTATAAGGCCCCATGGAGTTTTTCCTACTCTTAAATGTCTATCTAGAACAGAAGATTAAACCTAGCTGAGAGTGTATATAATTTTTGCTTTAGGCCTATACAAGGGCATTTCATTCTAAAGAAATAACTTGCAGGTAATGGTTTTCAAAGGAGTCAATTTTGAAGTGAAATTCTGGGAATGTCATCCCTTGATATTTTCCAAGAGATCCTCATAAGTAATATCATGATATTCTGAATATTTGAAATATTTCTGTTGCTTCATTGTTCATGAAATTGTTATGAGAAGATATTCACAGCAACACAATTGAAAGACAGAATTATGAGAAGATATTCAGAACAGAGTGGTATTTTGCTAGACTATTTCACGTTCATGAATCATAAAAAGCATGGATTAGATTAGATTTAGCATGGATACAGCTACATTGATTTTATGCCAAACTGAGACTTTGCTTCACTATATCTGCCTTCTGCAATTGTAACAGCTACTGTTCAGTAATATTTATCGAAAATAAAAATGGCTGAGAGGACTAATAATGAATTATTGGCATTCAACTACTCCACTCTATCATTAGGGACCTAAATTAATTTTTGCAACACTTCTCACGCTTTTTTTTTCATGTAAATGATGAGTCTATGTGTTCAAAATTATTGAAATTCAAAGCTCATTTCAAACGTACAGTCATGGCCGCCATTTGACAATACGTGGAATAAATGGTGACATCAGTTTTTATGCTGTTTTGTTATTGGTCAGGTAATCTTTCATTCCCACTCACAAATCAAGGTTGCCAAGTCACCAATTATAATCATGATATCAAAACGTTGTTAGAGTCCTGTTGTTGAATAAAACATAATAGGAGGAACCCATGATATAGTTAATTCTCGACTTTCGGGCAACCAGCATGTCCAAATATTTCATACACTTCATAACAAAATATGTAAATGTTGGAGACTTGGCAACATTGTGCTGAATGCTGAGAACTGACAAGACCACGCCCACAACTCGTGCGCCGTTGTTGTCATGTGCCCGAGCGTTTACCGGCTCAAATGTTTTTTAGTGTGGATTACTATGATTGTTATTTACACAAATGTTTTATAACCAACAAGCCACAACACATGAGGGAACATTTTGAGACAATTGATTTTTTAATGCTTATTAGGAATATCACTATTACATAATTGAGAATTTATGGATTATTGAATAAATAATATTTCTGAAGTTCCCAATCGTATTACAACATATGGCAACTGTGCTGTGGTCTGCCCTTATCTACTAAATCGTGACGTCAGTTTTGACTCGTGTTAAATTTCTAGCCGTTTCAAAATTACCGTGGCATTATTGATGATTTTGACACCTTGAAATCGACCGAAAAATTCTAAAAAAATGTGAAATTGAAAGGTAAGTATTTGAATGATGATTCTATTTAAGAAATAAAAAGAAATTAGTCTACTCGCCTATTAACATGAAACACTCCTTATCTGCATAAAGTGGAGCATAAAAGAATGATTTGAGTCAGGAATAATTTTTTTTTGGAGTTCCAATATCTCGAAAACGGCGAAGGTTTTTACTGAGGTCGAGTTGTGGTTTTCTGATAGGTTATGAACTTGTTTATCACTAGCTAGACTGCAGGAGTCGACAACCCGCGGCCCGCGGTTTCTCTTGGTGGTCCGTCCATGTCATAAAACGCATCCTATAAAACGCATCCTACAATTCAGTCAAATTTCACATTCATTCAGATGTCCAATTATAATATGATTATCGCAGGCATTCAGATAATATCTCAGGCTTTAGTTTAATTTTGTGGTAATCATCATATTGATAATATTATGATACATTCAATCTTCCAATATTTTATTCTGGGTATTTTTATATAAGGTTCATTTGCATAAATCTTATTTTGGATCACTCAACATTATTTGTGCCACTGGATACACATCAAATATCAGGCCTTTCAGGTTTCATTTCGATTGACACGCGCATGCGCATGAGCGGTTTTGTGAGAACCTCCAGAGAGGACATTTTTGAATTCACTGTGAAGTGATAAGTGATAAGACGCGCGCATATATCGCTCAGGCTATTTTTTAATTGCATAATTAAGTGGCCCTATTCAAGCAAGAAGATCGACCTCTGGGTACCCACTATGGCGAGTTCAGATGGTACTAGTGAGCCTATTCTTGATCTCTGAAAGGCATTTTGTTTTTATTCGAAATAATTGAATTCTGTTTTTCAACTTTTCTGTGCCGCATGCGCGCACCCACCATAGTTTCCCAGTCAACACACGGACATTCGATGGACATCCATTGGACGTCCATTTAGGATATTTGGGATATCCAGAGAATATCCAGTGATATCCGATGTATATCTTATGGACGTCCAATGGACGTGCCGAGTGGAAGGAGTTGGACTTCTATAGGATATCCTTCAGGGACATCCATAAGACATTTTTCAGGGATATCCATAAGATATTGTTCACAAATATCCATAAGACATTTTTCAGGGATATCCATAAGATATTGTTCACAAATATCCATGAGATATTTTTCAGGGATATTTACTAAATATCCTTAACAATATAGAACACCATGTATATTATTCCATAATGAATTAGGAACTATTATAACGAATTCAACGGTACCGGATTGGATAGGGTTATTTCAAATGATTACGAAGATATTTGCATTCGAAGTTTTCATATGCTCATTGAGGATATGGAAATGTGAATATCTTCCTAATCGTTTGTAGAAATCCTATCCAGTATCGTTGAATTCGTTATGATAATCCTTAACCGATTATGGAATAAAATACAGGGTGTCCCGTTTGAAAATGCCATCCTCGGTTAAAGTGCTAGTTATGAAGCAAACATGTAGGTACATACAACACAAATAAATAGTTGATCTTTGTGACATTTATTTGAAAAGTACAACTACCAAGGACAGGTTGGACATTTCCAGAAAAGAAGTTGCTCGTCCACCCTGTTTGTGATAGGAAAATTGAGAATATTCATTATGTTTCATATAACTGGTCTCTTCATTTTTTTCTTAAAACAGGGCATCTCATCTATAGGAATACTGATTGTATCAATAGTCCCTCTGTTGATTGCTTTTTGTGTCAACTAAGCATATTTATATATCTCTGGAAGATCCCACATTCTTCCTGAAAACAATGATATAGAGTTGAGTTTCAGGAGTTTACCAATATCATTATTAGGGAAAGTTCTTCTTACCTGACACACACAGTGGACTGTAAACATAATGAGGCATAATACTCATTATACTTCAATGCAATCATTTGCATCCATTTGACCAGCCAAAACCAGGTGGCCCGCATTTATGAGCTCAGCTTCATTTTGGAGACACTGAATCACTGAAAAAGGATAGACAGATTGAAATGCACAGGCTAAATGGCCAAATCATAAGAATTATTGTTCAATAATGATAAAAACTTACAGCTTATGTTGGTATAGGTTTTAGGTTCAACATTCCAACTAGAGGTAGGTAGGTGTTCTACTGTTAAACATCAGAGATATTATTGTCCTCAATCAAAACACAATGAACCACTGGAAAACACGGATTTAAAAAATACACATATATCAAAGCTGAGAATGATTGAGAACTCAAGACGAAATTAACATAAACACACCTCTCAATAAACACCATCACCATGTAAAATATAAACAATCAAATAGTACTGGCTTTCGCCGTTCTGGCTCTGGCGCTACGATCTCTCTTTCGTTTGACATGGCGGTATTTTCAAATCATCCCACCCGATTTATAAAATAACTTACTCTGAACAATCTATATTGTATAACCTCTATGTATTACGGTGAAGTTATAAAAATTATGAAATTGAAAATATTCTATTAGCCTGAATCAATATGATCATACCTATATTTCTTATTAAAAGTTTAACGCATATTATGAGAATAGAACCATAACTAGGTGTGGAATTCAGGAATTCTGAGAGTGGAGAACGTTCAGATATGACACACTAAAAGTCATTATGGACATGTGATTTGCATGTGATATTTGTGATGATTCGTATTGTTTTGAACCATTCTCAATTAACAATTTTTGTTCGCTAAACGAACATCTTATGGACGTCCATAGGTGATCCGCATCAGAATATCCATTTGATATCCTCTGACGGATATCCTATGGATATCCATTTCATGTCCCAGGATATCCCGACCTGAAATGGACTTGAGAAGGATATCCATAGGATATCCTGTGTTATCTGGGTTATTATCTAGGGTTTTCGTATCGTCACGTTGGTTGTTCGCGCGCGACTCGTTGAGCACTCAAGATGGCCTCAAGAAAAAGAAAGTTGGTTGAAGAAAATAGAGTTTTCAACGGAGCCTGGACCGATTTTTTCTTTCATCGAAGTTAACGGAAAACGATTGTGTTTGATTTGTCAAAAGAGTAGTAGGGAAGCCGAGGCGGGGATTTCGGGATTTACTCGAGCGCGGCATATTAACATAAGGGGGGTATCCTTGGACCTTGTGAGGTACTCCCACCATACCTGGGCCCTCTATATGGTGTCGAAAGTTTAGGACAGTCGATCAGATTAGTAAAAAAAATCGATCGTCAGAAATACTCGAGCGCGTCAGATTAAGACATGGTACGTTAATTGCATGCAGAAAAGTGTGCATTTCAATAATCTGACGATTTGAGCGTGACATAAGGAAATGGGAGAGCCACAAAGTTGCAAAAAAAATCGTCACCTGTTCATTCTCGAGCGCGGTTAATTTTTTTCTTATTTTGAAGGCAATTAGTCACGGATCACGGAAATAACATAATCTGCCGATTTGCACAAGC